AAAAATGATTTAGTATGTCTGAAAGCTGCTTTCAAACGAAGATGCAAAATATATTATATACCTAATATGAAAATCAAAGTAGTTTCTTGAGTTTTATGCATTATGTGTGCAAAGTGCCTTCTTAAATTATTTATATATCATGCATGGGGATGAAATAAGTTACATAACTTTTTTTTCTAAATGATGATTTTATTAATATTAATACATGAATTCAAATCATTTTACTATATATATGCGTGTGTGTGTGTGTGTGTGTGTAAAAAGACATGTAACTTGAATGTCTTGCATGGTTTGGGTTGTAAGATGCATGTAGATAATTAATTGTTTGAAAGGGTCCTCTTGGCAGATTATCTTCAAGAATTTGTTTTAGGAATTTAGATTCTCATTTGTTTTTGTTTTTGTTTTGTTTTAAAAAAAGAAACTCCTTTTAAAAACTGTATGATTTTCTAATTATTAAACTTTGTGATATCAACTTTAATATCACCTTGTGATGTTTATTTAGACTTTATATAAATTGTGAATTTTTAAAAATATTTTGAATTAAATTATTATTATTATTTTTTAATTAAAAATAAGAGTTATTAAAGATGATATTAATTAAATAAACGTCTTGTAAATGTTACTTACTAAGGTTTTATGCACCTTACTTTTGTAAATCATTTAAGATGACAAATTTCGTAATAAGGATGCATGTGTTGTTACAAGATGAAAAGATTTTAAGTTATTTCATATTTTATTTCCTCAAAAAAAAAAAAAAAAAAAAATACTCAAAAGAAGAGAATGAAGGTTTTGAAATAAGAGATGGAAAAGAGTCTTAAAAATAAGAACGAAACATTATACATTATACGATTAGCTTTTTTTCAATGGTTATTTCTTTTTTTTTTAAGAATATTTCATACCCACATCATATGTGTTGATATATTATAGAAAAAATAAATAAATTAAATTAAATTTTTGTAAATTTTATTTTTAAATTTTATTTAATTATTTTTTCTTTAATCATAATTCTTGAGCGATATATCTTCCATTTTCTTCTTTTTCTCAAATATCCAAAAAGTTTTCAAGTTTTATTCCACTTTTTTTAACTTTTAATTCAATTATATTTTCATACTAAATTAAATGCATATATTACATGCTTCACTTTTAAAAAAAATAAAAAATAAAAAATAAAAAGTCATCTTTATATATTCCTTTATTATGATCACAAATTTAAAATTTTTGCTTCTACAATCAATCATGTAACTACAGTTTGTAGATTTTTCATTTCTTTTTGTGAAAATAGAAATTGATTTTTTCTCTACTTTTGATGAAATGTAACTGTTTAGAATTTTGTATTAATACAATTATACCCAAATCTAATTATATTTGTCCAGAATTGGTTGTATATCTAATTATTATGTATAATTTAAATTTATTTAGAATTAATGATTTTTGATAAATATATAAAATTTTAAGTTAATATGGTTGTAGTATAACATGTATTGTTATTAAGTTATGATGTTAATTAGTTACTATCACCTTTATATATACTAGCCTTTTGGACGCTACATGAATGTTAATTAATAGCAAAATTGTCTTTTATATATATATATATATATATATATCTCTCTCTCTCTCTCGTAATACCCCAGCCCAAGATGGGCTAGTTGTCCAAAAAAAAAATTTGGGGAGGCCAAAACAATATCGTTTTGGGGAAGAAGAAAGAAAAAAAAATTGACCAGAGATGTACACCCTCTTCCCTCCACCGAAGAGGAGAGAGAAAGGGCCGTATGGGGCTCTCCTTACTTCGACTATAAAAATAGAGAGAGAGCCGTGGAAAGGAGAGATCCTGTGCGTGAGGAAAGAGAGAGATCCGCGCATAAGAGAAAGAGAGCTGTGCAAAGAAAGAGAAGCAGACCTGTGAGAGGGAGTCGCAGCTACCACTGACCTGCGCAAGGCAGTCTAAGACGGTGCGCAGCTTTCCTCACAACGAGTCGAGGAGTCTAGGCGGCCGACGACTTGTGTGATTGGAAACTAGAAGGAGAATCGTGCGACAACACCCATTCGAAGAAGAAGGAGATCTACAATGGTTGGTCGCATGTTTCCGCCTATCCCTGGCTTCTTCGGGTGCGATTTCACCATATACGCACTGGATCTAAGTGCGCAAACCATTTCGTGGTAAATTTTGGTCGATTTACGGTGGTTCGCGGCGGTGTACAGTGGCCGACGGTGGTTCCGCAGCAGTGCTCTGGTAGCAGCGCTCCAGCAACGATGCGTAGCAAATTATGGACACGCATATGGTGGCGTGTGGCGATTCCAGTTACCGAAATCGTACTACAGTAAAAGTTGATATCATTTTTCTATTTTAATTATTTTTACGAGTGTTCATCATTAATCTACATATTTTTTATTTTTTATTTGTAAAGGAGAGAATTATCTAAACAATACCGGAGTTAGATGAGAGTATAAACCCGAACCATTAGGAATTCTGATACTTTCCAATTCAACTGTAGGTAAGGAATTAGGTTAGTCTTATTCAGATACTCTCATATTTTTATAAAATTTTATTTTTTATTAAAATAAATTATTTACAAACCTTACAAATTATTTAAGTTTTCTAGCATAATTTTTATAAATTCATTATGTGTGTGTGCAATTGCATACGATTGAAGATCTATATAATGTTGTGTATGATTTACATTTATGAATGCATATTGTCACTAGTGTGTATATGCATATTTTGTGCAATTTAGTTACTGAGTTGTATGTGTGCATGATGCATGCATATATATATATATTTAATTGTATATTGTATGACGTATTTATGTATACTATTAGTGGATATGAATGAATAATTTGTATGTTTATGTTATGAAATACATATATATTTTGTATAAATATACAAATATATCTATGTTGTATGTATTGTGTGTGTATATATATATACATTTATTTAAGTTGATGACCGTGTATATAAGATGTATATATTATGGTTATTATGTAGGCTTGTTTATGTATAATTCACATGATGTATATATAAGTGCATGCATGAGTAGGTCATCTAGTGATTAATCTCATTAGTAAAAAAATAACATAAGAATCTTTAAAAGACGAAAAAATTCATTTAATCGGTATCACTGAGAGGTGAGTATGTGTGTAGCCTTTTAGTATGTGACTATGGTGAACTCTATTTGTGGATACGACTTTAGCCAGATGTGGCGAAATAATAAAAATTGTGAACTGTATATTGTGTACTACAAATTGTGAACCGTAAATTAAATTGTAATGTATTCAGTAGTAGAGGGGATCCTTATTGCTATCATTGATGCTGGTGGAAACGACATCGCACGTTGAAATTATTTTTAATAAGATATAAACTGAGAGGAAGGAGTAGGAAGTCATTAGTAAAGTCTACGTTACTAAAATACTGAATTAATATCTATTGAACTGTTTACTGTTTAAATTGTGATACAAAATACTTTATTATACTATTTATAAAACTGTTTATGCCCCGAATTATAATACTGAAATGAGAAATTTTGAATGTTTACTGAATAAACTGATTTAGAAAATTTAGTGACTGAGTGTGTGCATATCTTTGTTGTGGGCACTGCCACTTTTTCTTACTGAGTCCGTAAAACTTACCCCAATTCACACCCCTCCCAATGCAGATTAGTGTTGATAAAAAACAAGTTCAAAGTTTAAGAAAGACTTTGAATAACTTTTAGTGACAGTGAGAGTTTGTCTTGAAAAGTCGGTTTAATTATATCATAACAATGTAATGTAAAGAATTTTGTAAGTCTTATGACTAAGTGATGATTGAGTCTTAAGTTCTAGTTTATTGCTGCGTAAATTTATCAAATTATATGTGTAAAATGACGCTCATTTCTCAATAGAGAAAGTAGGTCGTTACATATATAATTACGTGAATACTATTAAAATTATTAACTAATGATAACGTTATAAGTTTATCGACTAATGAGCTGTATTTAATAAAATTGTCAATTTTCCTGAAAGATCAATAAAATTTTTCAGTTATTTTTTTATGAGAATTTATTTAATACTTTTATTTTTTATATAATAAAATATGTACTAAAAATTATAATAATTTATATATACTTTAAAATTTTGGATGTTGATTTTATTATATTGTGCCATATAAATTCATTTTTTATATAAATAACGTGTATTAAAATGTATAGCTATTAGTATGCAGACAATATATGATTAGTATTTAATGTATACTTTCTAGTAATGACCAAAGTAAAATTTTTTAATTCATAATCCTATAGTTTGTGTGACTTTTACCTACTTATATAAAAGAATGTATATTTAATTATATTTTTATTTATTTATATTGGGATAATGCCTATTTAAATATATTATCATTAATATGAACAGGCACATTGATATTAACCATATCAAGTCATGTTAGTATATATACTTATCAAAACAATTAATATATAAAATATATATGACAATGTGTAGCTACCCAATAAATCTTATTTTATACGATTAAACTATTTAAGTGGCTCCTCATAAAGATATATTGAACATCTTCAATGTAACTTAACTATTAATGGAAAAAATTAAACATTAAATAATTTAACTATTATAGTAAGAATTATTTTAAAGTATATGTACATTAAACATGTTTTCATTAAAACATACATTTTAATTTTTTAACTAATTCCAAACTTGTAATATTTAAACTATATATTATAAATTCTAATTTTTATAAATAATTTCCTCATAAGTCTTAAAATAACATAAAAAATATTGTCCATTCTATAGGAATATTAACAAATTTTTTAAAAATTATTGATCCATAAATTTGTAATGTTTTTAAATAATATTTTATAATTTCAACAATTAAATATATTTATTTTAGAAGTAAAAACAAATTAAAAATTTAAATAGCTTCATGCAATTACTGTTGCATAAATTTTGGCCCATTCGAAAATTGAGCTGGGCTTCAACTCATTGGCTCTCGCACACCGCTCTCATGTTTATCTTCCATTTTTTGAAATCCCTCATTCTGGTAGAAAAAAGAAGAGTGACGGGTTTAATTTGAATTCTTCATTTCTCAGCATGAATAATACGCTCTCTGTCTTCGATTTCTCCTTCACAGTGTCTTCTACCTCTCCTTCATCTCTTTCCTTCTTTTAACTTTTTCTTTAAGATTCTCTTCTTTGTTCCTGTCCAATTCCTGGTTGTTCGTCACCTGTGGCGTTGTTTTGCTCAGAGTAAATGAGAAGAGGACCTTGTTCGAGAGTGCCGCATTCGTGGAACGCTACCTGCAATCCATAAATTCAAGTATGAAAAAAATTCTTTGTTGCTTTTGATTTCTTTTCTATCTCGCGTTTCTTTGTTTTTTACTCAGATTTTTATTAAGGTTTGTAGAGCCCTTGCGCTCGCTCCCTCAGAGCTCCCCACTGTCTTTGCCTGATTGTTAATGTACCAGATTGTTCATGTAGCATTCTCTGCTGCGTAGCAGGGAGGCTAACCAAACTATAATTGCAGTTGAAATTGAAGATGTTGATTATTGACTCGGCGTAAATTAGAGAGTAGTGAGGATGGATACTATGAAGTAGAAAGAGAGCAAGTCATGCCTTTCGATTTATCTGCCTTGGAAGGTATCAAAATGTATATCACATTTTATTTGTTCATTGTTTGATATTTTATAAGATACCTCTCGTCCGTTTTGTTTTTTATATGAGTTCGACATTATATACAAGATTTTTTTTTTTCCTGCGAAAGGATTTCCTATTTGACATCGAGTTTTATGCTTTCATTTATTTATTTAGATTGATTATTGTCGCTTAGCTTTTGTCTAATTTGATTGTTTTCTCATTAGATTATTCTAATGTATATTAGATGTCAGACTTTGGTAGTTAGTGATATCTTAGCTAGTGTCTTTGAAGTGATAAAGTTAGCTGATATAAGAAAGTTATGTTTACCAGTACAGATACTAGTTGTTGCGAGGAATTTACAGGAAAATTGTAACATTTTGGACTTCCCTTCCTTTCTCATTTCCTTTGCTTCCTCTTTACCCCTAGAAAAATTTTTCTCCCTCGCAAACAGGTTCCAATCTAAAGTTAGAAGCTTGCATTAGAACAGAAGTTGGTATGATGACTTCTCCTCTTTAGGAAAACCTAGATTTTAGTTTCCCATGGAGAAAGTTATTGCCTGACTCCCATATGGAAGTATTCTTTTGTTGGGGAATTTTTTTTTTTTTTTTTTTTCCGAACAAGCATACCAAATATGAAGTAGAAAGAGGCAATGGTAATTGATGAAGGAGAAGCTGGATTTGGTAATAATTGATGAGGGCATAAAATGATAAGGAAGATAGGGATAATAGAAGAATTCGTGGAAGAAAAGGAGAAGAAAGAGGAAGAAACTTGGGCCGGGGGGTGGGAAGAAGAAATGGCAAAAGATAATGATGGTGGATGCAAAACTTAATATTTCCTATTAGATACTCATTAGCTTTGGAAAAACTATAACTGAAGTGTTCTTATATTGGAAATACATCTTATATTCGAAAACTTAATTAGGATAAGGCATTTTGTAGTCAAAATTGTTGTTAGTAGGTAATATTCAAAATTACTAATGAAACTAAATAAAATTCCTAAACTATGCCCAAATATTTTGAATGCTCTACTAGTTCCTGTTTAATGTCATGTAACATTAAGATTTCTTAATACTAAAATTCTTTTAGTTTAATTTCCTACATTCTCTATCATCTACCATCAGTTGTTGCAGGCTTGGCCTTGAGCTTTGTCGTGATATAATATCAAGAACTGTAATCCTTGGATGTGCATTTTAAATATTTAAAACTTATTAAATTTGTGACTTTCATGGAAAAAAGGTGTGAAGGAATGCACATTCTAGATTGAGTGTGAAACCAATTGTAGTAAATCAAAAAAATAAATAGTTTCCTACCTTGCTCATTATTTTCCTTTCAATGGACATTTCAGCATGTTCATTAGTTGTTGGTGGGACAATCCCAAGCATGCTTTAGAGATAATTTAATTGGTAAAGCTTTGATGCAGTTCAATCATCAATCTTGAGTTAAAGCTTTTAAGCACCAAGAGTTCAGGTCCAAAATAGTTGCTGGGTCACTGGGGCTTGGAATGGAACACTAAAAATGGTAAAGCATGTGTACTTCCAATGCAATTGTGCTAATATCATCTTGATTTTGTGGGAACTTAAGTGTGGTTTTGATATGTGCTCTTGATTAGGATAATGATGATTTAAATCACATGGATAATAATTTGATTTATCTATCCACAAGGTTTAAGTCACTACTAGCAATTTGGGCTTCAAGCATTTGGCCACAAAATGTTGGACCAGTTCTTTGCATTAGAGGTTTACTGTTATCATGGTCTATAAGTACTTCATGTATTAAAAAAATTATACTATTTGTACTTTTCAACTTGTGGTTACATGCTGTAGTTGAGCGGAGAGACTTAAGAATTTGACTCCTTTTTCACTTTTTTGGTGAAAGGAGATGCAGTGTTAAGAATCTTCATTTCTCTCAAAAAAGTATGAAGAATCTTTTTGGACATAAGCTCTGTGGACATAAATTTGACAAGACTGCCCATAAAACCGGAGATCCTAATAAAGGTTCTCTTATATCACACAAAGTAAATCTTAAATAGGAAATTTGATTAGGATATAATGTTAAATAAATTGGTGAAAAAAGCCAAATAGTTGCTAGGAGATCAAATAAAAAATATATTAGGAGACTAATAAAATTATTAAAACATACAAATTTATGAAAACTTCTTTTTTGATAAGAGGAGAAGGTAACTACCTAATTAGATTCGTGCCAGGAACTGCTTTTTATTACCATATAAAATATGTTATTACGTAGTTATTTCCATGTCAGGATATTTATGAAGTCTACTATTGATCCTTGATAAAGTGGGATTTGACATATTGCAAAAGATATGACCTACAAGCCAAGTATCACTAATTCTATGTAGTGCAGGTTCCTTCCTCTAAAAAGCTTTTTACTTACTTTGCTTCATAGTTACATAGAGAATGGAGAGTGGGATCAAACACGATTAGTTTCCTTAACTGAACCATCCACCACTCTGCAAACCACTAATATTAACTGAATTAGATGTTCATAACTTTTCTTTAAATACGCAAAAAGGAGAACTTTGTTGGGAAAGAAAGGGAATATAATGGAGGAGGGCGAGCTATCTTCCTAACAGGTACAAACATAAACCAAAACAAAGAAAGTAAACAAAGAAAAAGGCTAAACTCATTAAATATAAAAGAACTCCCAACCTGTGCTTATTATAGACAAAGGTACCTTGACAAAAACAAGGACAATTCATGCTCATTGACCTGCTAAGATGCCAAGGAGAGTGATTTGTACTGGAGAAAATGTCGAGGATGAACATGATGATTGCTAATTGAGGACTAAGGCCTTGCATTGCAAATCATAAAATGCAGTGACTATTGAAGAGTGCTCCTTTGCATGAAACCTTTTGCTCTTTCTTACGATTCTTTGAAGATGCATAGAGAAGAAAATCTCCAGTCTTGCTGAACAAAACCAATGGTCCTGAAAGCTTCAAAGATTAGTTACAAAGCTTTCGTGCGACCTCATAATGTACAAACTGATTGGTATTCTCCAAACTCTGAGAACACATTACCCAGCAAGTGAACTAGCCCTATTTGGTTTGCGTGACTATAAAATATAATTAGCATTTTTTCCTATTTAATATTAGAACTAAATAATTATTGCAGCAGTATTTCCTAATAATGAAATTCTTCCAATTTAGTGTCTTTTTGTCTTCCATCAGTAATGGCTAATAATAGTTTT